ATAAAACATATAAGGTGCTTGGAGACAGTATTATTATGACCAGAGTTTTAGCTGTTATTGTACAGTGTGATGGCATGTGGCAGGAAAGATTTCCTGTATCTGTCCCTTCGATAGATAATAATAATAATAGCATGCAATCCCTATACCTCATCATGTTTGGTTTTAAGTTCTAATATTACAATGACATTTAATAGAAACTGATAGTTCAACATTTTTGGCCGTGGGTTGATGGTTATTACACAGAAAATACCAAAAATGACCAAACTACCTTTTAAGTGTTTCCAGTTAACAAGTCACAGCATTAAACATATTATTTGTGCAGTAAATATGGAGCATTAAGGGGGAAGGAAGTACAGGTTTATAATATGGTAATTACCAGTTTTGACTTACAAATATTTTCATATATCTTGATGTTATTACGTTGATAATACTTATTAAATATTTTTATATGTGTTTCCTCTTTATTTTAACATTTACCTTTGTTTTTGGCCCCTTATTACCCTGTCCAGTCTAATATTACCCAGATAAACCCATTGTTAATACAAATAGCTATTACTTCGTTATAACTACTCTTTTAACCATGTTTTTACCAAGCCATAATGCAAAGTGCTACAGAAACATTTTGTTCAAATTGTTTTATTTGGAGTACAGTTTTTTCCACAAGGACACAATATGATTAGGACTTTACAAATATTATTAATTACAAATATATAAAAAATAAGAGAAAATTTGAGTTTGAAAATGCCAGCAATAAACTGTGACAGGAACAGAAAGTAAGCCTTGTAGCTAATTTACCTTTCTATGTTTGGAGATTTAATTCCATGTATGGATGAAGTGTAGTTAACTGTTAACTGTTTTAACAGTGTTAAAACACTGGTCAATCCTTGACGTCTATAGACTATACTGAGCCTGACCTACTTACTCACTGTACGGTGTGTTCTGGACTAAACATACTTCACACACTTCTTAGGGCATTTTTAGTAGGAAGCAAACCTGTTGACTACGTGCCAGGCTATTGATCCAAATGGCACTATGTATGCACTGATCAGAAAAAAGTGTGTACTTAATTCTTGTGTTTAAGTAAGTTAGAGTAATCAGTCAGAGAGCAGAAGGTGCGTCATTTACGTTAAGCTGCATTAATTTGCCTTATTGAATTTTCTGGTCTATTGAAGAGGTGAAGAGGTGAAGAGGTTATTATTGGTGGTTTTCACTATAACACTGTGTGGTGGTACAGCAGTGGATAATTCAGTTTCACCTGACACACAGCAGCAGAACAACTGGCTTATAATGAAGCATTTTATGTTGGCATTGTTACTAGGGTATCTTGCTTATGAGGCGTCCTGGTGGCTCACCTGCTAGAGCTGGTGCCCAATGTACAAAGGCTGAGTCCTTGCCACAGTGGCCACGGGATGAACCCGGCCCCCTGCTGTGTGTCATTCCACTTTTCTGTCTATTTCTCAAGCTGTCCTGTCTAATAAAGGAAAAAAAAGCAACATCAAAAATATATATTTAAAAAAAACAGTATGAACGGTATTCCAGGTGCAGCCAGTTTTACCTACCCCCCTCCAGGGCCACAAGATAAATCTGGGGGTTGTACACAACACAAATGTGTACACAAATCTGTATTCCTTTTTTCGGATTACTGCACTAATATTTTAATCACTGATTTGGGTCTTGATCAGTTATTTAAATTAAGTATCTAAGAAGTTTAGAGGGGAAATCTTTCTTTGGTGAAACTTTAAACAACTTATCATTTGAATCCTGTGACAAGGCCCCAAGTAGATGCTGCAGTTTTGTTTTATATTATCAAAATGGTTTTGAATGGATGTACAAAGCACAATATTTCCCTTTGAAATGTAGTGAAGTAGAAGTGTAAAGTATCATAAAATGTTAATACTCAAAACATAAAAAGGAAATAATCATCATGACCAATAGTCATAATAGATGAAAGAATAACGTTGCAGGTTTACAATAACAAAACAGAATTTCTGTTTTAAAATGGCACCGATCAGTCTGGTTGATGGGTTAGGGTTCATTTATGAGGCCAACAAAAGCCCCTGGGGAGCATCTGCTGATGATACCATTTTCTAGGAAGAGCATCTTATGTCTAATACGTATATTGGCTCAGAGAACCAAGCTACTCTTTTCCTCTTAACCTCAGACCTTCTAAAGTGACCACAATCTACTTAAACCTAACCAACATAATCAGGTCAGTTCCTAGACCGTGTTCATACAGCTGCACATCCAGAGATTGTCAGGGGCAGCACTGGCTCCACTCGGAGCAGACGTAAAGACAAACGTGAGAGGTATTGAGCCATGATATGCCAGCAAGCAATAACTAGAATAACTTGTAGAAAATAATGCATGTGTTGGGACTTAACATAGTTGTTGTCAGAGACATGTGAGACCAGACCGAAAGCAAAAAACTTCCAAAACAAGCAAAAATTGAGGGTGGCTGCAGTACAGATCACAGAGGGATTTACAACAAATATTAAATTTGAGGACTCATAAAATGATTTTTGTCCAATTACAGTTGGTATCCTAATAATTGGGGGACTACTATATATATAAAAAGCCAAAAATCAAAGCTAAAAGTAAGCTCTTTAACATCACGGTGATTGTTTCAAGTCATTTGCAATTTGTTCAGACAAACAGTTCAGAGAATTTGACTTTCCTCTTTTTAGAAACTGATGAACGTGACAGCTGTCGGCTCATTATCTGTCAGTCCATGTCTCTGCCTTAGCAGATTAGCTCTTCACTAAGTATCAGTAGAAAGCACACCTTGGAGGGCATTAGAACCTCTGAAAAACATCTTTAGAGCTCAAGCTCTTAACATTTGGGTACCAGGAAAAAAAGCTTTGTCCTGATATCCTTGCATCAGTGCTACGAAACACACGTTGACAAGCAACGAGGAAATAACTGCTGATATTCAGAAAAAATCCTTCACTCAATAATGTATAAGTCATCCCCATCGAAGACAGCAAATCTTTTATTATCATTTGGTTCCTTTATAAATCCTTGTGCAGAAAATTGCTGCTCATCCCATTAGAGAGATTCTGGAAAACACAGAGCAGATTGAACAAATCGTGGAGGCCCCTCGCTCGCACTGTGTGATAACAAGAGACGGAGGATCAAGCCTCAATTTGGGGTCCGTCTCCTGGGACAAATACCAGGCTTTTCATAGACTTAAATCAAATGACATCTTTAATTTGGTCTTGTGACGTGACAACAATCCGAAAAAGAGGCTTCATTTTGTGGTGAAACTGAAAGTGTATTAGTCTTGTCTGAAAGTGAACATTTCATGGCATTTCTATTAAAAAGCAGCTGACAATAACATCCTGTGAAATGAGTAATACATGTACTTTAATAAATAGAATACATACTATATATGTAAAAACAACAAAATAAAATCATCTGCAGGAAAGCAGAAAACATTTTGGACTTGGAAAAAAAACCCCAAGAGGATGGTGGATAACACAAAGTCACTCCAATAATCTCAAAATCCCAATAAAAGAGGGAAGAGAAAGTAGGAATAAATACCATATTTCCCACAGATTCAGTCTTAAGAAACAAATTAAATTTGAATGAATTGAATCAAAGTTCGCCCCGAGTACGCTAAGTGGTGGAGTGTGAGTCAAAAATAGTACGAGGTTTGGTTTCTAAAAAGAAATCTGAAAAAATAATATGCATACCGAAGTTCATCTTTGACTTCTGGCCTTCATAAAAACAACTGTGCTTTATGAGAATTAACCAAAGGCCTGCAGTGTACCTGCAGAGAATGACAAACCATCCCAATCTTCTCTGCACACAAGCAAAATGCTGCTAAGTATTTACATAAAATTATTTACTTATTGTACACCAGCAATAACATTACAGATTTGCCATGTTAAGCCCTGAGTCCATGGCATATTTCTGAGCATTAATGCCAGGATACAAGCAGATTTGGCTATCTGTGATTAAATCCAGGATAAACATTTTTCCTCTCCTCCATCTCTGTCCTTCCCATCTCATTCCTGTACATATGTTTAATCTTTGAATGACATCTCTCCCTGACATTAAATATCTGTATTCACTCTTCATGTGAAACAGTAGATTTCTGATCATACAGATACCACGGAATGAAGTGACGTTCATTCTTTCTCCTGATGAAGGTCTACAAAAACATCACAATTAAATGTTATATTGCAGGTTACTCAGTGTGCAGAAGTTTATTTATTAACTTCTGATCTACTCCTTCTTAGTGGTGTAGTGGTGCCTGAAGAAGTGGGTCTACTCTTAATTTATGCCCCAACGTTTCATCCAGCAAAGGATAAACACCCTGTGTTATAAACAGTGACGTGTGAGACTACTCTAACTTGTGCTGCTTTACTTCGGGGAATAATGATCATTATGAAATTAACATCAGGTGCAGATTTTGCAATCAATACTGGCCCACAGACGGGTGAGACAACTGCATAACTATGCTTTTTGAGTGAAGTATTCCTTATTCCTTTCTCCATCCGCTCACAGAACACTACTGCCAAAATGTCAATGTAAAAAGGCATCAGGACTGTCGGGACAAAGTTTCACGGCAATCCATCCAGTAGTTGTTGAGATATCTCAGTCTGGATTGAGGTGGAGGACGGACAGACAGTCTGACGTCGTCATATAGCCACACTGCAATGAGTCTGTGACTGAAAATGATCAAACCACGGTCTGATTCACCCATTTTGTCCTTTCTCAGATCCACTAAAGCAAAGTTTAGTCTACTCATGGCTTCATTATAAACAATTTCTCATTGTCATTACATGATGATTTTATTGTCTCAACCATTAAAAGGAATCCAGCTAGAACTGTTCACTCCACAGGAGGGGTTCACGATGTGCTGCTGGAGTTCAGGATCCACAACCTGGATCAGCATCCAGATGCAGACCTGATCCCATCTCGACGCTCCGACCCAGGGCTCGGGCTGCATTTACCCATCTCTCGTTCAAGTTTCTCTCTCAGTTTGTGGAAAGCGGGCCTTCTGCGTGGCTCCTGCTCCCAGCAAATCTTCATCATGGAGTAAACACCAGGGGGGCAGTCCTCTGGAGCCTCCATGCGATAGCCCCCCTCCACTCTCTCCTTCACCTCCTTCAGAGACTACATGAGCCGGAACCACGGAGAGGGCGGCAGGATCAGTGAAGACAAAGAGGGAGAAGTGGTCACATTAGTTTGTGGTACAAGTGGATAAATTCAGAATACTAAACAGTGAATAAAGCCAATTTATTTAGTAGAGTAGTGTAGTTATGACTTATACTACTTTATTATACTATATGTGTTATCCCCCTTTCTACTTTTTCTCTTGGTCTCTTGGCCCCTCTTCCTGCCAACAGATAACAAATGACCAGGCGCAGAGTTTAATTGAGGGGAAAATAAACTTGACCCTAATAAATCAACCAGCGTATATGTTAAACAGGCTGTAATTAGGAGGTAATCATCTGCATTTAAAAAGACACCGCCTGAAATAAGGTGCAAAAAGACACATGCAAGGTCGTGCTGTGCTAATTGTCCCTTCGATTAATGCTGCCTGATCCCTCTGTCCTCGCTGAACCACAGGCCAAATGACAAATCACCTCATGTGATCACGGAGCAGGGATTACATGAGAAAGACTATGACAAACAGAGCTGCGTTTAAGAAGCATAGTTTCTTTCTCTCCATTACAGTGTCAACAGGATCCAGTCTTTGCGTGACGTCAACCTCTGACCCCTCCGTCTTGGCCTGTTTCCACCTACTCCCACCTGCTCTGACGTCTACATGAATGCAGTGGCGGAAGTACTCAGATCCTTTACAAATGACATGGTAAAGTACCCACTCTCCATTACAGTATTACAAGTATTTTTATCCAGATATACTATAATGCTAATACTATAATAATATAAAGTATCAAAAGTATGTACTCGTTCTGCAGAAAAATTATATATGACATTAACCAGATTAATAATACTGATGCATCAATGTGTGGGTTGTGAGATGATTAATGGAAGAGGAAAGTTCTGCTACACAAATGTTCTGGTCTGTCTCTTAGCGAAATATTGGATAATTTAACCTCTTTAGGAAGAGTTTATTGGAGTATATTTCATTGGATTTAAACAAGGGATGCATGATAATTATTGGGACAGATAAATTATCGTCCAATAACTTATATTATTAATAATATAATAATAAAAATTAATAATAATATTATTAATACTTTATATTATTATGAATCAGCAGGATGATTAAATTACAGCTGATAAATAATCGGTCCATAATGCTAATAATTTATTTTGAATTCTTATGCAAAATGATTGATAGGCTTTATGTTCTATGAAAGCTAAAGTATGTTTGTAACTTAAATATAAAAAATAAAAGAACATTTGAAGAGTCAAGTGTTGTTAATAATAATGATATGAATAATAATGAATAATAGAGTTGATCATAGTTATTAAATATTAAATTATCTATCTTTGCTCACTATATCTCAGCCTTTCTTACCTCCAGGGTAGTGTAAAAACTACAGGTTATGAACTTTTTGATGAACTTTTTAAAATAAAAAATGTTAAATGTTTCAGTTATCAGTATCAGCCATGAGAAGCAGGTAATTATCGGTTATCATATCAGCTTAAATAAAAATCCATATTGTGCATCCCTGATGAACAGTTTGCATTCAAAGTGGGAAGTTCAGAGGGGAAAAAACACTAATATAATATTTAACAATGTGAATTTCATAAACTTAGGTGGTTTATTTTTTATTATCAGTTGTCAGATAACTGTAGTAAGTAAAAAAGTACAATCTTTCACTCTGAAAGTGGAGTAGAAGTAGTTCAATTCAAGTAAAGTACCTCAAAACTGTACTTCCTGTATGTACAGTACTTGAGTAAATGTACTTAGTTACAATCCACCACTGCATGTACGACACAGGTAAAGGGTTCCTTCCTCTTCCTTCCAACAAAAACAGTTCATAAAGCAGATTATCTACTTGCTAAGAACATTACGGTAATTTCTACATGTTATCCTGTCACAATGTACAGCAACAGCAGAGACACTAAACCTCTATCCTCACTGACGCACTGCAACTGTAGCTTCCTGCTCAGACACAGTAAGTCCATCCAGAGATGACGGTCTAACGACGGATCTGACCCCTGGGTCTGGCAGCTTTCCAATTACACTCCTACTACGTGACACAGACGTGAATCCTGACATGACATGGAAGTCACAGTTATGTAACAAGCTTGAAACTCTTTCTTGACACGTTGAGGACAGTGACTCAGTCAATGAGAAGCTTATCTTGCAGATGTTTTTAATGTTCCTTTATTTCTCAAACTTAGCTTCTTTAGTCGTGAGCACAGTGAGAAAGTTTTATTCAGCAAAGTGTCAAACTTAATCAAACAATTAGTCAAATCTAGTGTAATAGATTGTGAATACTAGATCATTTCACAGACAGAAGACTGATTTTGGGAAATTTACCTGTTTTAACTTTCTTTCTGAGAGTAAGATGAGAAGATAAAGTTTGCTGGTTGCCCGGCAACCTCACAGTGACAACAAGACTCCAGGAAGTGCAACTGGTCGCGGCCAAGATATAGTCCAGCACATAACCTCCCATAAAACCACAACTTTTAATGTACTAAAACCTAATACCTTTGGTTTTTGTATTGCTCTGTGCTAGGCTCGTCTATGTTAAAAAGACAACCACATTTTGAAGATGGTTTAAACATATACATATATAGTCAAGTTAGCAAAATGTTAGCTAAAAGGCTAGCTAATTAACAGCAATCTTTAGCTAGCTAATTAGTTAGCTTTCATTATTTCATTATTCATCATTACATTAGCTAGATGTAACTAGGTAGGTAATAATTAATATAGATTACCTAGCAAGTGTTTGGCCTGAAGCAAAACACTTGCTAATTATTCAGCTAACTAACTAGCTAGTTAACAATTAATGTAGATTAGTGAGTTAGCTAGTTTTTTGCTAAAATTAGGTAACTTAAGATGTGACAATATATGTACGTAAATACAGGAAAGTTGACTGAGGTTTATACAAATGTATTCTGAGTAAAGAGCAGAAAGAGGTAGGTGGATTTTGTAACCTTCGGACCGAGCCAGGCTAGCTGTTTCCCCCCGTTTCCAGTCTTTGTGCTAAGCTAAGCTAACTATCTTCTGACTGTAGCCTCAGCTGTAACTTACCTGCCTGTAATGCACCTATGTGCTGAGTGCCGCACATTATAGTAATACATTATTAATTAATAAATTATAATATATACTGGTGCTACATACCATCTTAGGGTAAGGTTGGCGACCGTAAGAGAAGATCTCCCAAAGAAGAACACCGTAGCTCCAAACATCTGACTTTGTGGAGAATTTCTGCACAATGGTAGCAAATGTATACACGTAATTAATAAATTCCCTTTAAATTAAGTGAAACAGCAGCGTATCTTTATTTTATGCACAATGACTGTATTGTTACACTTAAATATCACAGAGAGGCAGAGACAGATATAGAAATATAAAAACAAAAACAAACTCAAACTGACCTCTTTCTTCAGAGCTTCGGGGGCCGTCCATTTGACCGGCAGTTTGACGTTATCTGACACCTTCGAGTCCACCTTGGTCAGACCAAAGTCGCTGACCTTGGCCACGCTGTCGTCAGAGACCAGCACGTTACGAGCTGCCAAATCTCTGTGAACCAACTTCTTGGACTCCAGGTACTCCATCCCCTCACACACATCGCTGACCACATAGATAGTAAACACATAACAAACAATTCTCATTTTAATTTTGTACTGTGAACACACACACAAGCAAACAACACAACATCATGTATATGCAGATATAAAGCAGTTTTTGCATTAAGATTGTCTTTGAAGTTTGAACTCACAGAGCGAAGTGGAGCAGCTGAACTGTGTTTACGACCGAACGTCCTCTTGTCCTGAGAAAGTTAACGAGGTTTCCCTGAAACACAAACACACACATACACAAATTATAAAATACTTGAATGAGATTTCCCAGTTAGAATGACTACATTTAGACAGGGGGGTAGTGTCTTGCTGCTGCAGTATATTTGTAAATGTGTTAACCCAGCAATAGACAAGTTATTTAGTGCCATAAAGTCATAATAGAATGTATATAGATCTAGACTCGAGGTTAGGCAACCACAATGAGCTTCTGGATTTGGACCTTATTTCATTAATCAGGAGAGGAAGGCAGACTCTGACTTCCTAAAGGTTCATTGCAATCGTTGGCATGTCATTGCATCAATGGTGGCTTCAAGTGGCAGCAGGGCATTGTATAATGTGACTTTTTGAGGTTAAGGTTACTTTTACAGTCTCCCATAGGAGAACAGTTGTTTTGGATTAAGGGAACTGCTGCATCAAAACCAAACATCACAATAAAACCATCATAAACAAAACCACATAGCCTGAGATAAAACAACCAAAGCAATCTGTTAAAAATGACAGACAAACATCTGCATCCATCCTAAAGCATACACATAAATTAGTACTTAACTTATAAACACATGCCTACAAGCAAACACACGATCAGTGAAAACGTGCAGTGCCGCTCTACCCTCTGTCTCTCCTCCAGGAGAAAGTAAAACAACCCCAGCAAATAATAATAACTCTCACTAGCTGTACGTATAACTCTTGTTTTCTATTTCTATTACATCCTGTATTTTATGTGTATTTTCTCGTCTCTCCGGTGTGGGAGAAAATAAAGTCTGTCTTATCTGCTGCTGCTGGTGGTGAATTTGCAGAAACAGGCAGATATATTCAGCGCTCGTGGCTCCAGCTTCTTGTTTAGAAAGAGGGTTCCCATCGCTGCTATTTAAGAGACGCAACATCGAGCAGATTTTCCACCAGTGACTCATGTTGAGTTCTGAAACTGTTCTGGTCACAGAGGACAAACCTGTTGGGTTCCACTTCCTATATATGATTTTATTTTCTGCTTCACTGTGTAACGTAACAAGGCATTTATTTTTAAACATCCTCAATCTACGCTCAATATTCATTCACTATGTTTACTATTTTTATTATTTATTCTTGTTACTGGTTGTTATTATAATTAAGATTTATTTTCCAGCCTTAGAACCAGTGATAAATGATGTGTTTACTGTACCTTCGTCATGAGCTCTGTGACAATATGAAGCCCTTTGTGAAGAATGACCCCCAACAATCGCACCAGGTTTTTATGCTGGAGTTTCCTGGAAGAGTGAAACAACATTAAAAACACAATAAAAATAGTTACGCCAATACATTTAATTAATTATGTGATCACTTTCACAATAAGAGTTTCACTGAGCAAACTTACTACTAAACAAACATAACTTAATAAATTAAAGGTCCAGTCTGTAGGAATTTGTGGCATCTATCAATGAAATTGGAGATCAACCAATATGAATACAGCTCAGCAAGTGTGCTTGAGATACTACGGTGGCTGTGAAACAAAAAACATGAAAGGCACAATCTACAGCCAGTGTTTAGTTTGTGTGCACTACTGTAGAAACATGGTGGTTCAACATGGTGGTCTCAACAGGACCCACTCCCTCTGTACATAAAAACGTCTCATTCTAAGGTAACAAAAACACAACGATTGTTATTGTCAGGTGATTATAAACTGATTAAAACATAACTATTTATGTTGTATTCCATTTCTGCCAATATACGCTCTTAAATGTTCCACACTGGACCTTTAATACACACCTCGTCAAAGTGTTTTATCAGAAATTACAAAGTGGGAAAAACATTCAAATTGAGCAAATCTTCAGACTCACGTCATAACTGTGGTCTCCTGCATGAAGGCCTGAGCCGTGACATCACATTTAATGGTCTTTACTGCCACCCTCTGGCCCATATACTCTCCTTCATACACAGCTGGGGTTGACAATCACGCATCAGAACACAACCAAGACAGCACACACACACAACAACAACACAACTCTTACAGACACTTTTTCATTATACATGTTGCTCTTTTCCTCAACACGTCAATAGATGTTGATATGCTGATAACAGTGACGATAGATAGAATCAAAGAAAGCTCACCACCAAACTCCCCTTCTCCGATACTCTCCCCCAGTTTGAGCTTTGTAATGTCCAGCAGCCATCCAGCTGGAGGGGAGACATGAATAATACTGTAAACCCGACATACACACCTTCACATGCTATCATAATCACTGTTTTTATATTTAATTACCAATAATCCATTTATATTTATTTACTATTTAAACTACTTACTTTTAGACAGCTCCAACTCTGCTGACTTGGTTCCGTGTTTTTGTTTGGGCTTCAGAAGAGTTGTAGCAATGGAGCCTTTGTTCTTTGAGTAAAACTAGAGACAGAAAAACACACAACAGATATTGACTACACACATTCAGTCAATTTCCTTTGGTAAGCGCTGATAAGATAAGAAAAAAAAATCTGTTTTCTAAGTCTTTTAGTGTTTGTGAATTAAGAGCAGGTGGGAAAAAAGTTTTGCTGGGATCATTTTTTCTTTTGCCCAGAAATGTATTTTAATTTAAAAAACATTACTGTAATGTAACACAACTTGCTAACATACATTATATGTACTTTGTATTTAAAGCGCATGGAGAAATTAAAATAAATATGTATGCTTTTAGTCTTCTTTAGAACTTGGGGTAGTTGTGCACTTCAGCCTCTTGTGACATAAAATGAGTATTACAACAACACAAACAAAATAGGCTCACAAAAAAAAAACAGTTACTAATAATATACATCAATGACCTGTAAGACTTTTAGGTGCAGCACTTCTTCCACTGCGGCTCCACATAAGTTCTGCTCTGTTACATTAAAATACCAGTTTGATAAATAAAAAATACGACACTTATTACAGAGGGACTAATATTATCTAATATTATAGGACCTTTGTGTAATTTGCAATGGAATTTTCACTTTAAAAATTACGGACGAGGCAGATTCGTACGGGATTAAGATCACAGACGTTCTCCCCAATTATAACAAATCACATCAGGTCCCCTGATACTAGTAGTCCCGTGCAAACAAGGCTTTAGCAAGATCATTCTCGCAGAATGTTTTTGTTTTTAAACACAGGAGAAAAAACAATTTAAAGCAGACATATAAATTTGATCACCAGATTTTTTTCTTCTCTTGCCTCTCAGGGCTTCCATAATGAACAGGAAAAGTTTGTTGTAAAGTGTTATGTAATGGTTCACACAAACATCAGGTTTATGAATGTATAGTCGATATTATTATACATTTCTCTAGATAATTTGAGCCCTGCAAGTACTCTACAGTACTCAGGAAGCCAGTTGCACACTGGGCAGTACTGTGGCTTCACAGAAAAACAATGAGGTTAAACCCATATTTATCTTTATTTAGCACCACACAATCTATGAACAGATACTCTTCAATGTTTCTGTTTCCTAACCACAAAATACAAAGCATCAACAGGCGGCAGCTATATTACCAGTGACACATCAGAGGCTGGTTTTATATTGTCAGCAGTCTGCCAGCAGTGAGACATTTAAAACATGATTCAGGCCAAATATTCCTCTGAAACGCCTTCAGTCTGCTTCCTCGCAGGAATCAGTCAGCCGGTCTGACTCAGGCCTGAAGCCATCTGCGGCTCGCTGATAAGATACTGCTGAACGAGAGCTGGCCGTCTCTGTCGAGTCCACATCCAAACCTCACGGCAGCGAAGCTTTGGATGCACCCTCACACAAACACAGGCCAAACACAGATAAACCGTAAAAGGGCTGCGCTTGCTGGGTTTTCCTGTTCTCTGCTTCATTTTGACTCATGAAGTGTATATTTTTACACTGGTGTCAGTTATGCTGATGGGTTTTCACACTTTGGCTGTAAATACAGCCGGCATCAGAGTGCCGAGGACTAGTAGATTTGGATGGATGAAATTTTGTACAAACTTTCATGGTCTTACTGACTTTGGTCAGTTTGGATTGCTACGAAATTTAGTGAACACAGTTGTTGCTGCAAAACAAATGACAATCCCATCAGCCTCAGTTATACTTTGTGTGGGAGTTCTTTACTTTTACTTAAAGGTCCAGTGTGTAACATTTAAGAGGATCTATTGGCAGATATGGAATATAATTTAGTTAGTTTAGTTAATTAGTGTATAATCACCTGAAAATAAGAGTAAATATGTTTGTTACTTTAGATTGAGCTGTTTTTATCTTTTATTTTGAACCAGTGTCTCTACCGTAGCCCAGAACAGACAATCCAAACACTGGCTGTAGACATGTTTTTTTGCCATCATTATTAAGTTGAGACAGTTTCAAGACCAGTTAAAAACTCCCTTTAGTAGGTTTAAGTACTTTTTCATTGTGTCCCACTGATGAATGTTAAATACATGCCACACTGGCAGTGAAAGCTCAAGTGAAAAATTCGTGAGAAACGGTGAGACAATGGAACAAAAGAAAGGTGTGAAGTTGGCATGCAGCAGAGCAGCTGGTGTGTCTGCACCTTAAATATACTTGCATAGGTCTGCACCTGCAGGTAAGCAGAGACATTCTGCATTTAGCTCACACTCAAAACATACACGTTGAATGCTCACTGGTCGAGTGTGTGGTCTCCCCCGGGTTGGGCCTAGCTGTCAGTGAGCAGTAAAACAATGCACAGCAATACTGCACTAAAATTAAGGACAATGCCACTGTGGGTTATGGTTAGCATAACTGTACCTCTGCCTCATCTATAATACACCTTAAGAGACCCAAATCAAACAAATCACGCTGTTGATTGGTGGTGCATGCTGGGTCTGGCATAATGCTAACATTCTCACAGTTAAAGTTTTACTTTAGACACAGCTGTGACTGTTACACCTTCAGCGGAAATGTTTGGTTGGTAAGGACTTTGTGGTTTCACAGTGGTCACAGAATGACATTCAGACAGATGAATAGGGTACAACAACTACAGAGAGGGACAAAGAGTATGTAAGAACTGTGCTACTGTCTTTGATGTGTGTTATTGGTTACAGCAGCTATGGAGTTTATATTGTATATACATCTCTGTGTTCTCTGTTCTTAAAGTAGCAGTTATTTTTATTATTTTCTGGTTAATTCTGGTGAGGCTATTCAGAGGAAGCGCGTTGTATGTTTATAATTGTTAGTCAGTGATATGCACAGGTTGCAAAGTCAACACAGAATGTATTGTTAGTTTGGACATTAGGGCTAGGTGGCGTAATGTTGTTCCATTAGTGTTGTTGGATTGACGTTTAATGCAGTTCTAGACCAAAAGTACGGTGGTTGAATATAGTATTCTATGACTCTTTCCATCATACGCAGCATGCTAATCGTGTGATTAGATGACTCAAACCATTTGCTTGCTGAGGTGGTTCAGGACGCTTTTGACCACGTCTTCTGTCTGTGAGGCTTCTTGGGCCACAAGAATGACTGCCGACTCAACTGACTGAAGTACACACGAAACACGCTGTAATACAAATTACATGTATTACAGCCTGCCAAAATAAGGAGCAGATGTTTGCGAACACACTGTACAACTTATGAACTGCACTGCAATACCCCCCAGACTCCCCTAATAAATCACACAATTTGGTGGGTTGTTGAGTAAGGCGCAACCTTATAAACTTTGTAAAACGCTGTCTACAATAAATTCTTAATTTTTTGGGCCTTCTTGTAAATTCAGCAAACATTCAACATAAAGTCCTACTCCTCACTCACAAAGCCCTCCACAACCAGGCCCCCTCCTGCCTTGCAGACCTGCTCCATCGCCTCCAGTCTTCTGATGCCAACCTCCTGTCTCCACCACTGAGGACCAAGCATTGTACCTGGGGCGACAGAGCCTTCTCCATTGCTGCCCCCTCCCTCTGGAACTCTCTCCCCAAACAAATCCGAGACTGTACTGATCCATCCAACTTTCAAATCACTGATCAAAACCCACCTTTTCAAAACTGCTTTTAATGTGTAATTCATTAAGTGTTGTATATATATATATATATATATACATACACGTGTATATATATAAGCAACAGCGTATTTGATCTTTGTACTTTTTGTGGAAACTCCAGCAACAGAAAGAAACGTATTTGTGAGATAAAACATGTTTTAGCTTGTGGGTTTCATTTGACCACAAGCTAAAACATGTTAATCTGTTAATCTGTTAATGTTAATCTCACAATAAAGTTGTTATTTCTACTACAATGAGTTGGAGTTTCCTTTGTCCATGCACTTTGGAAGTAGGTGAAGTTCCCTTTTCTCTGTTCTGGGTAAAGACAGTAGAGGTGGAGCTTCTTACCTCTATCATGTCAATGAGGTTGTAGAAGTACTGCACGTTATCAATGGTCAGCTTGTTGTCCTGATAAATCACGCGGTAGTGGATGACCTCTCCAGAGACGCTGACACACAGGACGTAGTCTCCGGGATGGCGGATGGACTCTCGAACGAGGTACAGACCATCCTCTGCCGGCTGCAGCTTGCTCACCGCCTCTGGACCAGAGATCTTCCCATGAAACCAACTAGTGAAAGACAGCAATGGGTGAGCCACAAAAATATACACATAACAAACCTGTGATCATACTGATACATTATACATCTCAAATGAGTCCAAGATAACTTGCAGATGGAAGAACAGGCAGGAGGTGAAAACATGTAAAACATTCAGTGGTTCACTTTTCAGAAAAAGGGAAGCTGAAGTGATTAATTTTGAGAAAAGGTTTGTTTGCACGTCTAGCATCAGTGTGGTCACAAGTGGTTGACCAAAGCAACAGCTAAAGTTAGAAACTAGTCCGCCTCCATGTGACAGTCACACTGCTTGTAAACTGCATGTAAACGTGCATATGATGACACACAGTTGGGCGAAAAAAGGGTAAAATTGAGAGGACGTACGGCATGAGGCTGAGGCTGGGGTCCACACGTAGAGCCTCTCTTTCACGCACATTGGTGGAGTTTATGAGTCCCTCCTCTCCTGTGGTGTTGTGTTTGGCCTTGTAATGTCCCTTCTTCTAGAAAAAAACAAAGTCTGGTGTCAAAAATAATGACTCTGAGAACAAACGCAGTCTGTAGATCCATTCACAGACGACAGTACCGTGCTCGTGTCGATAATGGTGAGGATGTCTCCTTTGTGGTAAGCCAGTTCTCCTGGTTTTGGTTTCCTGTGGTCCCCCTTGGCTACACACTGCGTACCGGCAGCCCAGCTCATCTGCAGCAGCAGAGGGAAAATTATGATATCTGATATTAAACAGGATGATTATATATATAACATTTCAAAGACCCATGTAGTTTGTTACTGATGATGGGGAACAGAGAGACACAAAGCTCTGTGGCTGCTGCGTTGAGTTTAAACTTCACTGTTGATTTCCATCTTTAAAGAACTGTTTCATTTAAACCTCAATACATAATTTCTCATTATTCATTAACTATTATAAACTCCATTCTTGTTCCAATTAAAAATTTGAGTTGTGGCTGGAGATGTGGATATACTCCTTATTGATGCACCATTACAGGGGCGGCAGTAGCTTAGTCACTCCAGCCCATCACTCTACCATCTCTCTCCCTGTTTCTCATGTCCACGAAGTGTTCCGAAAGGTGTGTCTGAGTTCCAGCCCTGTGTGTGCTGTCGCTTGTGTCGTGTGTTTTTAGAAATAAAGCAAGACGTGAAAGAACGAAAAAAATTGTAAGATTACTCTTGCATATTTATCTCACCCAGGCAATGAGGATCATTCTTAAATTAGCCACAGGAGAGGTGCAGATTTTGCAATCAGTACTGGCTCAGAGACTAGTGAGACAACTACAACAACTACAACAACACATCAGAGGGGATTTAAACACAATGCTGACTGTAAAATAAGTGGGTATACTCCGTACACCTGCATTACTACACCACTGGAGATCCCAGGAGATTGTTAGGACCAAAAAAATCAACAGAAAGAACATTTGCCCCCAGTTTTATCCTTAAATCATTAATGATTAAGTTCTATGTTTGACACGTTAAACTCTCGGTTGCTTAAGAGTTTAGAGATTTAACAGATCTCACTCACAACTTCGGGGTACTTGTACTTTACTTTTTTCTTTTCACGCCACTTTATAACCTCTACAATTTAGACGTGTAATAAATGTAGTAAAGCATGAAGTACAATACTTTATACTTATATTACAGCTTTGGTTACTTTACATATGAAATTAGAAGAAGCTAAAAGGATGATTGAGTTGAATTTTGTCCTATTATTTGGACAAACAAGCATTGTGACGATGTCACTTTGGGCTCTGGGTAACTCTGATGACATTTCTCACTATTTTCAGATTTTCTTTCAAACTAAACAATCAATCGATTAATGGAGAGACTAATCAGCAGGTGAATTAGATTAGTTGCAGTCCAATACAAACTATATAAAAATGACCTCCACCTATAACAGTAAAATGCTGCTTTTACATCAATCCGTAAGTAACAATAATCTAATGTATCATATAAAAGTAAGATTTCAGTGCAGGACTTTTCAGTGTGTTAAGTATTTATACTTCCTCCACCACTGAATCACACAGCGTTGATACATACAGGAGTCTACATACCTTTGCCATGAGCGGGGCAGGAGGGCTGGATAATTCTGTGTTTAACACCTGTCAAAGAGGACACATAGACACATTAAATTCTGTCCAAAGTACACACACACATATATAATAATCCATGTAATAATATAAGAAGGCCTACATACTATTATCTTCCTCGATAAAAGAGTAGCTGCTGTCGAGGAAACTAACACTGTGGCTCAAACAAATACAATAAAGCAATAAAAAGCTGCTCCTGTCGCATAAATTAAAAGTAAACCAGAAGATAAAGGGCCACCGGACAGCTCTCCCAGTCTGCTTTCGTGTCGACATTAATGTTTCAGTACCTGCGGCTGTGTGGACAGATGCGGATCCTGTTTCTTCTTCAGGACAGCTGCTGGCTCACTGAACTGAAAGGAAACATCACCAGAACTGGACTTTCTAGATCCTCCGCAGCCTCCGTCCGAGCTACGCCTCAGTCAGCGGCGGTATTTTTCTCAGGTTTCTTCATTGAAACGACAAAAGTAGGAACCGATTCTGTGGATATTCATGAAGGCATCCAGACATGTAATGCAGCAGCTGTGGTGTCAGTCTGTCACACCACTTCCTCAATATTGAGATGAATGTGTCTCATTATTCATGAGGCGACGCAAGAAGTGACGCTGTGGGTGATTTCTTTTGCTGTGTAATATCAAGTCAAATTTGATTTATTTATTCGCCTCAGGGGGCTTTACAGTCTGTACAATATTTAACATCCCTCTGTATATTATGGAAGCCCATTAGCGCCAGTAAAATAAACAAATAAGATGAAAACTTAGCTTTGATAATATTGTAAAAAGTCGAAATTATGAGAAATACCTTCATAAAATCATAATTATGACTGTATATCTCGTAAGTTTGACTTTACTTTTTTTATTATAAAGGTTGTTTTGTTTTATTTTACTGGCAGAAATGTGTTTCCATATACCTTAGACCCACAATTCTGGTAAGGAGAAAACCCTAAACCCCATTATAAAGGACCAGTATGTAGGATTTAGTGACATCCAGTGATGGAGTTAAATATTGCAACTCTGTCACAAAGGGAAATATGGTAGCTATGAAATGCACAAAGTGCGTAAAAGTCTAGAGCCAGTGTTTGCTTTGTCCGTTCTTGGATACTGTAGAAACATCAACCTGGCAGACTCCTAGAAGAGGACCCGCTGTGTCTGTAGATAAAAACGACTCATTCTAATGTAACAAAAACATAACAATTGCTATATTCAGTTGATTATACACGCTGGAAAACATACCTATGAATATTTCATTATATTTACACACTGCAGTGGACCTTTAACAGCGAACAAATGGAAGAAACATCAGGTAAAGCCACAATAAAATGTGCCTCTTAACAAGACACTACAGATGAATATGTTTAACATTTTAACTAATATACATCAACATGACACTTCCCCAGTTGATTACCTCCATTAAGACATTACGTTTCCTGAGGTTTTTCTTAAATATGCAAATGAGGCAAAACCCAGGTTAAAAATTCGTGTTTCATTTGTTCACGTCAAATAATTTTACCAAAGGAATTTTAGATCTCTTTTTATTACTCCATAAAACAGAAAATACTGTCAGCAGCCAGGAAAAAATGTTACATAAATCAGGCTATGAATGATTAATGACCAAACCTCTCTGTAAAAGCCTTCAGAATATAGATAGGAATAAAAATAGTTTGTTGTTTGTAAGTGCTCCTGTAATCAGAGTACAAGAAAAAAAAATATCCTTTAAAAATTACATTTTGCAAGACATGTGTGAGTAAGGTAAAAATGATAATAGATATCACAATAAAACCTGCCCAGTTGATTTATTACATTAGGACCATAATCATTTTATGTATTAAAAGTTTTCTTAAATTTGATGTTTAAATATGTAAAGGATGGTTTACCTAATGCTATCTTTGGTGAAATTAGGAGAAATCTACAGATGCAGTGTAGTAAAATAAAAACCTAAATTGTATTTGGCATTTTTGAAAGACATGGAAGCAAAATCTCCAAAATGTGAAAGAAAAATGTTTTAACCTTTATTAAAACACAACCCAGGAGACAAAGTGGCTTAAAAGTGTTTTAATATCTCCCCTTATTTTAGGCAACACTACAAAGACATTCAAATAATAGGACAGCAACGTTCACACTTTCCGTTTAAACAATACAAAATAGATTGCAACATCCTTCAGAAATAAAATCATCAATACTTATATGATGCTCTTGGTAAATGAAAAATCAAACTAAAACTGCACGACAATTCTCTCACGTCAACTTTTAAGCCAAACAAGTTGTGCAACTGTCCCTTCCCTGTCCTACATCTTTGTGAAATAAGATCATTACAATATTAACCTGACAACTCAAAATGTTCCCGTACTCAGACTTTTGTAACACACAACATGATGCAGGCACAAGGAAGAAAGTCAAAGGACTACTTGATCATTACAGTAGATATTCAGTCTTATAATTCGGACTAAAGCTTCTCTCTTCTGCTAACCATACTCTGGAAGAAAAAAGATTACTAGGCATTATTATTTAAATGATAAAATTATGGCTGCATACAGTAACATTGTCATTTCTTAAGTGCTTCATTTCCTCAGCATGCTACAGACTGTGCAACATAAGACTTCTCTCTCTCTTCAGAGACAGATTTAACCTCCAGTGTGACCTCTGCAGAAAAACCTCATGGGCGATGCTGCACAAAGCAAGAGTTTTCTCGTCTTTGTACACTTCTTGCTAAAACCATAGTGACGTATTTTCAAGGGGAAGTTATTTTAGTGTAGCCTTGTTTTTGAAAGGTGTGTTGCAGGCCATTTGGATTTCAAAACTCTGATTTGTCTCACTCGTTTTCAAAATGTGTCAGGAGGAAATGTTGAAAGGGCTTTACAGGAGACTTTAGAGGGAGTAAAGTTGACATGAGTTCAAGGAGGACTTGTGAGGTTCGCTCAACAGCGTCACACAATTTAGTCACTTGTGTGTCACCTCAGGCACAATGAACATCACAGTACTGTGTGTATGTAGATCCTTAACGCTGCCACTCGCAGATCACCTTCACACCCATCTTTCTTTTTTTAAACACGGATGTCATGCACCAACATTAGTTCAGCGAGTCCTGACTCAAGAGTCGGATGGTAAAACTAAAACAGCCTGAAGAGCGGTACGACTGTTTTGGAAATAAAGCTTAAGGTGCTGATGATTTAATTGGAGGCTTTAACATCATAGAAAACAACACAACTGTAGTTGACAGTGTTGGTTTAACTATAGTGAATAAACAGGGGAAGAGGTGGTCAGTAGTTAGTAGGGGTGTAATGGTAAGTGTATTTGTCCTGAACTGTTCGGTACGCCTTGTGACCCAGACGATTATTATTATTTATGTCTACTACTAACGCTCGGAACACGTGTTAGTGGTGAGAGAGGGTATGTTCGCTCTGAAGGGGACAGGAATGCAATGTCTCATTAGTGTTTACTCTCAAACTACTTTAATCCGCTCACCTAGCACTTCCCTTCAGTTTCTCTCCATCTGTCTGTTGACTCTCTTCATCAGCATTAGGTTTTATAAAGTCGTAGAAAGAACACAACTTACGTTTTCGGGATTTTTATTTTTATTTTTTTTCCAACCTGTGATTCAGCAGGTGAGCAGCGTGTGGAGGACCCTTGTTGTGAACGATGTAACCTATCGAAGCGACAGAAACCAACGACGTACAGAAAGCTCTACCTGGTCCGTGCTTGTGAAACAGGAGATCCACAGTGTCTGCACCTTGTACCGTAACAGTGTGTTTCTCTGCAAAATGCTAAAATGGGTTGCAGGCCGTTAATACACCTGGGTGGACCGCTCAAATTCAACTACTGATTTGAATAAAGCTTCCAAGCCGAGTCATCCCCGTACAACGCCGTGAATTGTGTGTACCATTACACCCCTAAGTAGTGAGTGTGCAATTACACCGAAATGGAATGACGCTATCAGTAATTATCATGATTATTTACTGAACCAGTTTTTCTCTGCAGGAGATTACGATACTGGAGAAGCGATTGCAGTACAGATTCTCAAACTTGTCTCTTCCTCAAACATATTATTCTTCCTAATTCAAGGGTAGACATGTAACATGTACAGTCAGTTATATTCATATGTGTATAGCTGCGTGTTAAGATTGTTTTCAAGATAAGAAAAGTTTTAAAGTTGTGACATTCTACCAGTCTCTAAACTAGCAAACGCCTCCCGCTCTGGAGGCAGAGGTCAAGCACTCTCTGCTTCCTCCTTCTTGTCTTTTTTGCCTTCGCCCTCGCCTTCGCCTGTCTCACTGCCGTCCCGCCGGCGTTTGCGGTTGCGAGCGCTGGCTTTGGACGCCGGCAGAGACTCCATGCCCAGAACCTTGTGGATCTGACGGAAAGCAAGCAGCCGCAGAGCATGCTGGAAACAGAGAAAACAGGAAAGAGAAATGAAGGTTTGTGCAGCTGAAGGAATCTTTTTTTAGACAATTGTTTTGACATTTGACAACTTAGAGGCCCACAGGAAATGGGGGTAATGTCATGCAACAAAGGTTGTGGTCCTCTCCTTTCCCCTGCAGGCTACCAGCTTCACCGTGGCTAGAGTTATTTTAAAGTCCACTCTTCCCTCCCACGACCGTTAGTTGATTTGGATGTCCAAATTCAAAGAAATATCAAACACTCTTGAAATACATTTGCGTGGTTCTCAGAGCAACTATTTTTTTCCCCACTCTGTTGTTATTGGTGGTTACACAAATAACTTCAGCACCAAGCTCTTTAGCTCTGTTGCTGTCTTCACACAGTCTTAAACTGGCTGTTATACTGCCCACTAAAAGTAAAACCACACCTTCCAGCCAGTCAGAATCGATAGAAATGTTCTGTATGGGTACCTGTCCACTGGCAGTTATGTCCTCTCTGGCTTGAAGCATCATGCTCTCCAAAGCATCTGTTGGCTCTTTCTCACAGGGGTCCATCAACCCTGGTCCGTCTGAGTGAGGAGAGAAGAAACACATTAAAAGTGTAGATGTGCTACAAGAAGTTACTAAAGAGTGACTGTCTCCTTTCAAAAAGCACTGACAGAGAGAGGCACAGCAGACAAAAAAATTACATGAAACAATCCCAATTCTAATTCTTGAAAACAATCAAACTTGTTCTTGGAAGTGATAAAAGTTATGTATAAGCATGAAAATATTTTCTGATCCTGTGCAATAATCTTCTTCTACATCTCATTAACATGTATATTTGTCTGACCTGGCAGCAGGATGCCTGTGGAGATGCACTCCAGGACTCTGCGCATGGCCTCTCCGGGGCTGAGCGGGCCTGCAGCACTGCTGATCACTTTCTCTACCAGCAGCTCCATCGCCTGGAGGGAGGAACATACAGAGAGAAACAGACACACTGAAACAGAAGAATACACTCCAGACAGTGGATTGAAGTCCGCTCTACCTCTCGATGTATTGACTCTTCATTAAACACCTGGTCATGACATTTGAATGCTTGGAAATATACTTTTTATGTTACTGTTCTCTCATACAAGGCGCCAGTAGAGACAGAAAACGGACAGAAATTCACAACAAAC